TAAATAAATAAAATAGCTTTCCCACTGCTAGACACAACACCCAACACCCACAGTTTTGAGGAATTCAATACATAGTTTGCTGGCTCAAAGGCAGAAATGATACTAGCATTTAGATCTAAAATGTCCCCCAAAAGTCTCATGCTTTTAGAAGGTGATCAAATTACGAGGTGCTAATCTACTAATGAGTTCACAGCTGAATACGCTGTTAGGAGGTGGGGCCTAGTCAAAAGAGGCAGGTTCCTGAGATCTGTAAGAGTGTATCCACCTCCCAACCTCCTCCCTTCACTCTTTGCTTCCTGGCACCATGCATTGAACAGTTTTCTCCCTCATACTCTGTTACCATGGTGATTTTGCCTTGGAATCAAGTGACCATCGACTGGAACCATGAGTTAAAATAACCCCTCCTCCTTTAATTCCAAGTGTCAGGTAATACATCTGAGCTACATGGGAAAGTAATAAAAAGAGATAATGGTACCAGAGAAGTGAGTTCCTTGCTGTTGACTGTACTTGATCATATGACTTAGAAGTCTTTGCAACTGGTGTTCAGGATATCTGATTCAGAAACACTGGCTATAAAAGCCCTATAATGCCGTACACCAAGTGTGATGAGTTATTCTATTCACAGCTGAGAAGACCAGGTATACAGACAGTAAAGCTGGAAACAGGACTCTACTAGGAGTTGAACTACAGTGCATATGTGTTATACCCTAGTAGAAAATGTATCTACATACTGCCCACGCCCTGAGACTTTGCAGGAGACTGAGATTAAGGGCATGGACTAATTAACCTAGTGGAAAAGTTTCAAAGTAGCCTGACATTCAGTTTGTAAGATGGACCCTGCTATGCTGCTTTTAGCCAGATCTATAGTAAAAATCAAGAGCAAAAAGCAGATTTGAAAAGTCTGCAGTTTTATCAGGAAGGAAGCCTACAAAGTTAGGGCAAAGGAGAATCACCCAGACATACCCTGGAGCATGTTGTTTTAGTTACTTTCTCATTGCTGGGATAAAATACTCTACACCCACAAGTGAGAGGAGGAAAAGTTTATTTCAGTCCCGTTTGTAGAGGTTTCAGTCCACAGTCAGCTGGATCTGAGGCAAGGCAGTATGACAGAAGAGCACAGCAGAGGAGCAGTAGTCCATGGCATGCCGTGGCACAGCAGGGAGGAAGCAGTGATACTCACTCCTTCTTTCCCTTTTTATTCCACCCAGGTTACAAGGCTATTGGTTAGTGCCATCACAACCAGGGGGCGTCGTCCCTCTTTAGGAAATCCAAACCCAGATTTATGCTAAACCAATTAGTGAACTAGCCAGGTGTGGTAGTGCATGCCTATAATGCCAACACCTGGGAGGCTGAGGCAGAAAGCTTGTAAATTCAAGGCCAGCCTGAGATTCATCACTACACAGTGAGTTAAAGGACATCCTGAAATACACAGCAAGACCCTATTTCTTGACCTGTCATGTAAAGGTACAAGATCCCAATTATGAATGTAACTGTACTGTATACCTAAAATGTACCAATAAACTCAATAAAAAGAAAAAAAAATTTTTTAAAGACCCTGTCTCAAAAAAAAAAAAGTGAACTAATCCAGTATCACACTCACAATCTAGTCAATCCTAAAAGCCCCACTTATGAGCCCACTGAGGCCTTCAGAATGGACATCAAATTATAAGCCATTAACACATGCTTACTAATTTGCAAGGCACTTTTCAATGTGGTGAAGTTAACATAAAAGGGTTAGTGGTAATAATCCATGTTTTCTCAACCTCACATGAAAACACGTCCTTAAACTATATTTAATCTCCAAATAAGTTAGTTAAGTTCATAATTTGGCCTAACATAATACAACTCATTCATACAACTGGAAATTTTTTCCCAAAATCTCAGTCCCAGCATTTTCCAAACATCCAACACTCTAACACTCAATGCAAACTCTTAGCTATGAACTTCTTTAAAAATCAAAAACAAGTTACATAACCCCAAGTTACAATAGCACAGAATAAACATGATCATTCCAAAAGGGAGGAATAGGGAGACGGAAAAGAATAATACCAAAACAAAACTGAAATCCAATAGGGCAAACATTAAGTTCTATAGCTCCATATCTGGTATCTAGGGCACATGGTAGTGATATCTGAGTTCTAGAGGGCTTGAGTGGCCCCACCCCCATGGCTTTGCTATCTGTCACCCACCAGGTCTCTCTCTTGGGCTGGATCTACTCACAGTCTGCAGCTTTTCTTGACAAAAATTCCCCATATCCAAGATGGCAATATCCAACTTTCTCAAGTCTCCACTGTACCTACTGGCTTCATTATCACAGTTCAACATATCATCCTCCCAGGGCCTTCTTGTCTAACCTCCAAATTTTTCCTCTGAAATATTGGTGGAAGCCTCCCTGACCCAAAGACTCTTGTATTCTGCATGCTGGTAAAACCAGTATCACATAAAAGACACAAAATTCTGTGGATGATAGGGACAGTAGCCAGACCCTGTTGGACCTTGGCTGCAGCAGCTTCTAAGTTCCTGAATGACTGAGCAGAGTGAACTGAATTCTAAGGAACCAATCCCCTAAGCAGCTAGTTCTTCTCTAGCAGGGGCCCCAGGGACTCTCTTCTCACATGAAAAGTTTATACTTTTGTACCCCTGAGATTGAAATGGATGGAGTCTTGCTAATTTCTGACATATGCTCAAGGCATCATTCTTCTTGTCACTGTACAAATACTTTATTTCTTTTTTAATGGTACTTATCTCTTCCACAGACATACCTCCTTTAACCCAAACTTTACACATGGTTCTTTCTGGGCCAAATTTAAGTTTTTCACATTTTTTTCTTCTATGCCTTTTGCTCCTGATTCTCATTATAAAAGGAGCTAATAGCAGCCAGCAGTACCCATGCCACAGCCTGAATGTTGAGCTGTCTTAGACTTTCCTCTGCCGGATTCATTAGCCCACTACCATTAATCTTAGTCTTCTGTAAATTCCTGGAACATGGACAAAGTATACACAAATTTTCTGTGAGAGTATAATACGCCCTCTAAACCAACTGCCAGTGGAATCCTTTTTCCCAAGTGAAATCTCCTGCACCTGTCCTTTACTGATTGCATTTATGTCAGCATCTTCTGAGTTCTGACTAGAATCATACATTAAGCTCTGTTTATAGGATTCTAGGGCTTCATCTCCAAAAATTTCCAAACTCTTCCTATAAACCAGTTCCAAAGGCTTCTAAATCACATGGTCACATATAGTCACAGCAATTACCCCACTTGTTTGAAACTAATTTTCTCTATTTATCAGCTTTCCTATTGCTGGATACAATACCAAACACCCAAAGTATAAAGCAGAAAATGTTTAATGTGGCTCAGGAATTCGGTATATGGTCATTTGGCTTTAAGGCAAGAATGTCACAGCAGAAAGGCATAGTGGAGCAAATCTATTTAGTTCGTGGTGGCTGGAAAGTAAAGCAAGGGAACAATGCCAAAGAAGAAGGGACAAGAGACTATATATAATATACAGTACCCATAGCCATGCCTCTAGGACCTACCTAGACACACTGAAGAATGTGCTTTACTAATGTGCTACATATTTCTTTTTCCAATGAAGCTGACATATCAGAACAGTCATAGAATTTATAAATATATCTAAATATTAAATACTCTTCTAAGTATATTAAGATATTACTTCTATTGATAGAAGTAGCCACAAAACCTATATTTTAATCTCTTAGCACAATTACATAGTCCAAACCAGCAATATATTTTAATATGCAGGCTTTAAAAACAAAATATATTTTTATATTTGAAAAATAAATTATATAAAATAATACCAAGAATATGTCCAAATATTCAAATTCAAGTTTATTATATCCAAATAGTTTTCCAAATGTCTAATGCAATACCACACCCTAACCTTTACATTTCTATGATAAAAATAAGTGGACATATCAATAAACTCTTCCAAAAAATAAATTTAAGGGTACTATGTGTATTTAAAACTACCAAGTTGCCCTAGCAATGGCATTCCCTAAAAGAAATGGTCATGTAGTTTTTAAATAAACTTAAAGCTCTAATAATGTTATTATACTATAATAAAACAATGTAAAATATTTTCAGCATTTTAATTAAGTCTAAAAAATGGATTTCAAGAAGGTATTTTGCTGTTATTATCTGTCAAATCATATCCTGATAGTTCTGTATACGCATTGCATGCTAACCAATTGCATAACTGAAGCATCTAGTAGTTTTAAGAGTGAAATTTAAAAACCCAAGCTTGTGAAAATAATCTTATAAACATAGTATCAATGAGCAAAAAGAAAATGTTTCCCATACTGCCTTTTCTTGAGAAATATAAAAATCAAAAAGAGGTCTTTCTCATCCTAATCTCTAACACTTTTACAATCCTATGTCAACTGTTAGAAATCAATAATCATAAATTAACAATCAGGTGAAGCATCTGTGCAACCAATCTGTCTGTCCAGTCAACTTAACCATGTCCATAGTATTCAAAGAAGTAAAATACAGAAAGACATTGACACTTGAAAAAATGATGAATTCATTATCCCAACAAAATGTACCATACATTGAGTCATAAAAGCCTTAAAGCTGAGCATGGTGGTATTCACCTTAATCCCAGTACTTTAGGAGGCTGAGGCAGAAGATATTAAATTTGAGCCCAACCACGCAACTTAATGAGACCGTGTCTCCCAGCCTAACCAACTTAGTGACTTTAGTAAGACCTTCTCTCAGCACAAAAGCTTTTTAAAAAATGGCAGGAGAAGAAGCTTAGTCCAAAGGACCTGGATTAAATCCCCAGGACCACAATGAATGAATTACGTAGTTAATCAATTAATTTTTAAAGGGCTGGGGATGTAGCACAGTGAAGGGCTTATATTTTATCACCTCTGTGGGACAATGAGAAATGGGGGTTTGGAGACAGATTTAGCTTTAACCAAAACCCTCTACTCCATCATCCCACAATTCAAATTAAGGAAAGACTAAGATACATACCTCTATTTCCCAAGGCAAAGTGACTTCTCATGAAATGATCTCGTTGAGAAGGTCCATCATCCATATCTAAAATAAATAACATTTTAACAAGTCAAACAGTAAATAGTATCTAGGTAGTATGCAAACTTTTACTCTTTTCAACATGCCACATACAGCAAGGGAGGTTATACAGAAATAAGAAAGACAAGGGCCAGGGATTTAACTCAGTGGTTCCACTGCCTGCCGCACAAGCACAAGGTACTGAGTTCAATCTCCATACAAAAAAGAAAGAAAGAAAGAAGAAATAAGAAAGACAAACAGCATAGTAGAAAACAAGGCTATGAATACGAATAGGTAGCCTCCAAAAGAAAACAAATGGTGACTAAATCTCACTCATACCTAAAGAATTATATCAAAAGGAGATAATTTTTACCACATGATTAAATGGAAAACAGCTTTACGTTTGTTGATACTAAGGAACAGTAAAGGACAGAAGTGAAATATATTCAAACCACATACTGTAGATGATAAATTGGATTGATCTTGATACTAATTTAAAAGGCATATATGTTTTAAAAGTAATTAATATGAGTTTCCCCTCTAGATATAACCACAAAGTTATACAAATACACATATAGATATTCTGTCTGTAACAGAGAAAAACTGATCAAAATAAAATAAAATATGATCGCCCACAGAGTCCTATGCACTTGGATTTCACAAAAATAAATAGCATTCAACATTACAGAATTAACTTTCAACAACAAAATATTTGTAAAAACTGTCTATATAAATTCAACAGATTTCAACTGAGGGCCAGGGATTTGGCTGCCTGCCTCACAAGCACAAGGGCCCGAGTTTGATCCCCAGCATCAAAAAAACAGTTTTTTTTCAACTCAGTATTATATACACAAAATCCTCTAATCAATGCAATAAAATTAGAAGTTATTAAATTGGAAATCCTCTTACAATTAGAAATATATTTTTAAATACTTCTGTATAACCCACAACTCAAAGAAAAAAATTCAGTGGAAATTTAAAACATAATAATTAGCCAGGTGTGGTCACAGATGCTTATAAATCCCAGCATTTAGAAGGTTGAAGCAGGAGGATCACAGTGAGTAGAAAGCGGCCAGTTTAGGCTACATGGTAAGTTCAAAGCCAGGCTAAACCACAAAGACTTTGTCTCAAAATAGATAAATAAAAATAAATAACATTTCAGAATTATATGATAAATTCTACATATCAGTATTTAATATTTTACACTAGAAAAAAGAACTAAATGAGCTAAAAAGCCATCTTAAGTAGTAAGAATGCTAGAAAACATAAATCATGCAAAAGTAAAAAAGAAAATAAGCAAAAATTAATGAAATAGGAAAAGAACGTTTAATAGAATGATTCAACAAAACCATAACTAATTCCCCAAAAAGACCAATGAATAAAAAATTCTTTTCGTAGTACTGAGGAGGGAACTGTAGGACCTAGCACTTGCAAGGCAAACATAGACCAATGAAATTTGCCAGAATGACAAATCAGTAGAATGGAAGGTAGCAAAGAACAGATAGAAAGGCACAAAAAAACAGAACTAAGAAATTTTTTAATCTCAATGATAGAAGATAAAAATGACTAAATAATTTCTCTAGACAACTTTATGCTACTGAATTCAAAACACTGAAAGAAATGAAAAAAGTTCCCAGAAAAATTATTTCACCAACACTGACTCAAAAAAGTTTTTAAAAATTGTTCTACAGAAACTGGTTCACAGAGTAAGTATCTATACTAGGTCTAGAGACAGTTTTACATAATTTCTAACAAACTCTCAGAGAACAAATTATACCATGTTGTAATATAAATCTTCTAGGAAATAGAAAATTATCTACCAATTCATTCTACAGGATAATATAGCCTGGATAAGAAGAAAATTAGAAATCTGTTACTAACAAATACAAATTTCAAAATATTAGCAAACCAATCTCAATTCAAAAAATAAAACATCATGACTAAGTTTGGTTTATCCTAGTATGGAAAATAATTTTAATATTAAAATACTTAAAGGTAATTAGAACATTAACAGATTTTTTTAAATTATTTATCTTCACAGATAAAATTATAAGACATAGTTCAACACCATTCATGACTTAAAAAGATACACAATGGCCTTCAGTAATCCATAGGTTCCACTTCAACCACAGATCAAAAGTATGTGTAAAAACACTGTATCTATACTGCATGTATACAGACCTTTTTCTTGTCAGTCCCTAAGCAACACAGTAGAATATTTACATCACTTAAATTACATATTATAAGTAATCCTGAGATGATTTAAAATATACAGGAGAATGTTATAGCTTATATGTAAGTACTATACTACTCAACTTTAACACCCTCAAATTTTAGTATGGGGATAGAGAATTCTAGAACCAATCCCCTGTGGATACATAAAACTGGGAAAAGAAAGAATTTTCATGGCATTTCACAACAGCAAAATAGAAAATAACTCAAATGTATGTAATAAGATGATTTTTCCTTTTTTTTGGTCAGGATGTAAGAACACAGCACTTTTAATGGGCGCGACCCCAACTTGTATGTGGACAGATTGTCCACTGCATCCTGCACCTCTTCTACAATGTCCTTTTGGCTGGAATGCCACACAGAAGCTCTTCTTAGGTGGCACCTGGGGAGCAGGTCTGAGTCCTGAAATGTACCAAAGTGGTGCCTCCGAGTGAGCAGCAGTCACTGGGCTGCACAGTCCCACCAGCTCCTGGAGCAGCCCACCATCACTGCTTGGCCTTCTTTATGATGGTGCTCACAGCAGAGATGGTGGTGGTCTTAGAACCACTGGCACTTGTGACAGACGACAGCTGGCAGAGTGGCCATAGTGGTGAGAATGGTGGGCTGCGCTATCATTGTCACTGGGATGGCAGAGTCCTACTTGCTCTTTCTCTTTTAGGCACCTGCGACAGCTGTGTTGGCAATAGCAGCAGTGGTAGCAGAGGCATTGGTTGTGGTGGCTTTCTTGGTGTCCATCACAAACAATGTTGGTTTGTTCCTTTTTGGCCTTTTCCAATTTGTCCATTTCAATCTTCTGGGCCTTGGCTAATACTTCACAGTAGGAGTCCTCAGACCATCCATGGGGGTCAAACATATCCTTTGGGTAGTTGGTGCCTAGCTCATCAATGGCACAGAATTGGATCAGCTTCTCATACATGCTGAGGTTCCAAAATACCTTCTTCCTCTGGATGATACAGCTCATTTTCACACCTTCCTTTACCTTTCTTTCACAAAGATTCTGGATCTTTTCCTGTAAGTGATCTGAACACCTGCCAGGAGGTTCTGGTGGGATCTTGATTTCATCAGGAGACATGTTACGAATGCTTTCAGAAAAGAGGCCACTAACTCCTGGGTATCTCTCTCCTCTACTTCTGCATTATACTTTGGGTCATCAGTATCAGGTTTTTCAGTCTCTGAATCGTCATCTTCCAACTGTTTGCTGTTATCTTCCACTTCCTCATAACCATCTTCATCACCCCCTAGACAAGAAAAGTCATCCTCTCCACAGGCATCAGATATATCACTTTTCTCTTCAGCCACACTGCCTACAGCTTCAACTCCACCCTAGCCATCAGATTCAGGCTCTGAATCTTCCGCATAAAGTGCCAGAGATGACAGAACATTCTTCTTCCCTATCATTTTATTCCCACAGCCCCTGTGTGGCTCACACCTATAACTCAAGGTTCACTTTTGCCTAATATTTTTTTCTTTTCTTTTCTTTTCTTTTTTTTTTTCTTTTTTGGTACAGGGGATTGAACTCATGACCTTGCACTTGCAAAGGCTAGCGGCGGGACCACTGAGCTAAATTCCTGGCCCTAATTTTTCAAATAGAATGAAAATATGTGATCTATTCATATACCAGAGTATAACCATAACTATGAGTGACCTATAAATATCAGCAACATCAAAACAATATTGAATTCAGATTGCTGAACACACACTTTATTTTTGTAAAAAAATAAATAGACTACACATGCAATAAAACTTTAAAAAAAAAAAAAGAGTCAGGCATGGTAGCATATACCTAAGGTCCTAGCTACTTGAGAAGTTTCAGGCAGGATCATTTGAGCCCAGGATTTTTTTTTTTTTTGGTAGTTATGTAGATTGAATCCAGGGCCTTCCGTCTTTGTTGTTGCTGTTGTTCAAACTTGCAACCATCCTGCCTAAGCCTCCAGAGTGCATGGATTACAGGGGTGCACAATCATGTCTGGCAAGCCTATACTTTGAGACTGGTCTGGGCCATACAGTGAGAACTAATCTCAAAAACAAAGAGTGAGAGAAAAGACAGAATCAAGTAGGACAGGAGTTAGATACAACAGAATATGAGCAAATAAGCTATATATTAATAATGTGTTTGCAAACAGTGGTATTAATGCAGTCAGTTCAGTTACATGAGTGACATTTTTAAGGAGTTGTAGTTACTGTGTTAATTTCTTTTTAAAGTTTTATTAGTACATGTTTGCAGCACATGTTTATATTCCTTGTGCAGCCAGTCCATATAATACATCTTAATTCTTCTCTTCATCCCCTTGTTCTCCCGTCTCTCCTCTCTCCATCTCTTGACCCCTCCTTTTCCTTTTTGAGATTTATCTCCTTAATTCCAATTATCTTTCAGCTGGCTTTTTATTTATAATTTGTGCTTTTCATATAAAAGAAACGATGTGATATTTACACTTGTGTGCCTGATTTATATCACTAAATGTTATGATCACCAAGTACATCCATTGTCTTACATTTGACACAAGTTGATCTTTCTTTCTGGCACAGAAGTATTCCACTGTGTGTAAACATAATACCACATTTTCTTTATCCATTCATCTATTCATGGTCAGATGAGCTGCTTCTAAAATTTAGTTACTATGAATTGTGCTACTATAAACATGGACAGAGGATTAATATCTAGAATAAAGAACTCCAAAAACTTAGATCCCTCCAAACTAAAAGACCCAATCAAAAAAATTGGGCAACTGAAATGAATAGACAGTTTACAGAAGGAGTACAAATGGCCAAAAAAATACATGAAGTAATGTTCAATA